AAATGAAAATCGCAACGCGAATTTAATTTCTCGTTGCGATTTTCATTTCGCATTGCGATTCCCTCGTTGCGATTTTCATTTCGCATTGCGATAGTACTTTTTGCATTCAACATAATGCATATTGAAATCAACAAAATCAACCATTACATTTCAATCAATTAAACAAGCACAAATAAGAATTATGTTAACATCAATTAAACAAATCAACTTTTACAAATCACCTTTTACAAATCAATTAAACAAACAATCAAAAAATAAGCAATAATTATTAGAGAAAATAACACTTCTACTATTGAATCAACTTTTGCAGCCATACATCATTTTCACGCAGCTCACTTCTGAGATTAACCTGCATAAACCAAATATTTGCTCAAACAACACTTTCTACACATCTAAAACCTACAAACAGCAAATTATTGAATTCTAGGTACTTAACCAAACATTTTCAAACCACAAGCCTATAAACATACCAATTGTTTATGGACATTTTTATAACGCGGATGCAGGTAGGCAGCGTCTCGTATATATCGATCTAGCCATATAATGTCGAAACCACAAGCCTACTGCAGCTCTATCTATATCGGTGGGAGGTAGATACTTTATACTTCCTGTGATCAAACGGTCCAACGCCAAGCATATGAGAGGCCCACAATCCCCTCTGGGTCATTTCGTTTGTTGTGGTGCGGTCTCGTCTCTGCTAACTGTAATATTGAGCTTCTTTGGCTTCTTGTTTCCAGAACGAGTCCAATAATTTATTGCATCCAAGTATTTAGCCAAATAAGAGCTCCATCCCTTAATAATATCTCTTAAATCAGCCAATGATATGTAATTTATCATGCTGTCATATACTATTGCCTTAAGGGATGGGATCTGAAGCTCGACGAGAAGCCAATGGTTACGTTCCAAAACAGGGATAAACACCTGCAATCATAAGTAATAATTCATTCATTTGCGCACTTATTTATGAATACCTTTAAACTCAATCTAAAATAAACACTAACCTTATCGACCTCCCACCATGCAGGATAAAGTTTAGCTTGTCCATTGCCCAACGCAAATGATTCATCTCGTTGATTCTTCAAGTGAACGACGTTAAAAGACGTCGGCATAATTGTATACCGTGTATTTCTTTTATTTTCCTTAAGTTTCCTAATTATTAGAAGACGTGATACCCACGCATCAATATGCTGTTTTACAAAAAAATACATATATTAGTAACTTACATAAATTTACAAAAAAAAATCAAATGAAAATATAAGAAAAATATAAGACTTACCCCTCCATCGAAATAGCCATTGTCTTCGACCCCTAATAATACGCCCCACCAAGACCGATCAAGCAACAAATAGATATCATCATTGAGCTTGCATATGTCAGTGAAACACCCCTGGCTTCGCTCATGTAGATAAAAATCAACTGCGGTCTTAGCCCAAAGGGTGTTATCCAGAATTGTGTCCGGTAGTTGTTTCCTCTCCTCTTCAGATACCGGTATGGTACTGGCCGGTAACTCATACGAGAGCCAACTTGAATCCATCATGTCCGGCACGTCAGAGGGTTTCTCAAGAATCCTACATATGACGCCATGTGAATCGGGATCTTGAATGGTGGGAGGGACCTCTTCAACGATGACAGTGGCCTCTTGAACGGTGGGAGGGGACTCTCGAGGAATGATAGGGGCCTCTTCAACGATAGGAGTGGACTCTTGAGGGATGATAGGCGAGTCGGGCTTCTTCTTGCGGTGTCTTCGCACTATTGGGGTATACGGAGACTTAATAGCACGTGCACGCCGTCTGATGCGTGAACTCTGTCGTGCAAGAAAAACCCGACATAAAGCATCCACCTTATCGGTCCGCTAAATAAAAATACAAATATCAGTAAATAACAGACATGATATTTAAACAGTGAAAACAAAGATAAATATATTTCAAACTTTCAACCAAAAGATAAAACAAAGACAAATACTAACTTCACAGTGTTAAAGTAAAAAGTTTAGCAGTTTTGGCAGCAACCGAATAAATTTACTAAGCAATCTAAGTGAAATGGTTAATTTAAGTGAAATTACGAGTAAATTTATCATCAAGTTAAATATGGAAAATCTTAAACTTACCTCGTTGCGTAGAGTATGAACCTCATTCTGCAACGATACTACCATCTCACGTAGAGCGGCAACCTCACCACGTAAAGTAGACACCTCCACACGCCATGCACCATCGTTATCGCGTAGAGTACCGATCTCCTCACGCAAGGCATTGACCTCATCACGTAACTCCCTTTACTCATCCCGTGGAGGTGGAGAACAGGGAGATAGAAGTCGTGGCATCTTTGTCGGTCGCCTATCATGAGGTGATGGTGGAGAAGAGACTCGATGATGTGACGGGATAGGTGATGGCTCTCGTTGTAGAGGTGTATAGTCGGGTCGATCAGGTGATGGCTCTGGGTGAGGTGATGGATCTCGAAGTAGAGGAAGTGGAGGCTGCTCATCATTCGTGCCATCAAAAAAACGCTGACTAGCTTGCCACCAATCAGTGGCAAGCTCAGCCTCCGTGGGTGTCAGTCTCATTAATGGAGTGTTGGCCTCCTAAAAATATAAAAACTAAAACAAAGTTAAACGTCTACTATTAATAACTTGTTTATATATGATAGTATTTGTGTTAACTTACATTATTTATTGTCGCATATGGTATTAAGTCTTCCCAATCCAACATACGTTTCCTCTTCCAGGAAATAGCCCTAGGAATATCATCTGAGGATTTTAATGCATATGTCCGCATGCTGGGGAAAGCCTCGAATATCCAAATCTACAAACAATATAATAACAAACATTAGTAATTGTTAAATAATTAATTATAATTTTGAAAACATTATATAGAAATTCTTACCTTAAAGGCCCAAACAAAGCCTGACAAAGTGTATTTCGACCCATCGCCCCGTAAACTTTTGCGGTCATCAAAGGCAGACGACAACTTAGTCCAGGTAGCTTTCCATATATACGAACCCCACGGAAACAGATTCCATGCATTTAGGTCCTCTACCAATAATATTAGCTCCTGAGGAATAGGTTGTCTGGCCTCTCTGCCTAAAAAGCCGGCATACAAAAGTAGTAGAAGGCATACTCGGACAACATCGACGTCATTCATCCGAGTAAAACCATCTTTCTTATTAAACAATTTCTTCATGTCGTCGACGTGTAAGTTCGGCTTCTCTATTGACTCATCAGGAAAAACCCTGGATAACCATGATGGGCGGGTGATATGACGAGTGTACCGGCCTACATCATCGTGTCCGAATCGTAGACCAGTGATTAAGCAGAACTCCTTCCGCCCAAAACAAGTATACGCCGGTGGAAAATGAAACCATATCTCTTCCTCACCACGTTGTATACTGTCGGGTAGATCGCTAGTCATGGTCTGAAGCCACAAATGGGTCAAACTAGCATCTCCACCCGGATGCTGTACTCTCAGCCATGGCCCGAAGCAGGTTTCTTCAAACAATTTTCTTTGTGCAGGTGAAAGCTTCGAAGCAATTGTAGTGGCTAGGCTAACTTTATTCCTTAATGTCAATGAAGCCGAAAAAAATTTCTACAAAAAAACAATAAACATACCAAGTTAGATATACCAAAAATTACACTGTCAAGATATACCAAAAACAAAACAATAAACATAAATAGTAGTTTATTCTTGAAACTAAAATTTGCAACACTGTTTTTGTCTTTTGGTTGAAATGAAAATCGCAACGAGATAATGAGAATCGCAACGCGGAAATGACTATCGCAACGCGAAATGACTATCGCGACCAGACAATCGCAACGCGAAATGAAAATCGCAACTGCGAAATGAAAATCGCAACGCGAAATGAAAATCGCAATGCGATTTTGGTTTCGCGTTGCGAATTTTTATTTCGCGTTGCGATAGTTATTTCCGCGTTGCGATTTTCATTCTCGAAACTATTCTTCTTCTGCATTACTTCAACCAAAAGACAAAGCAAAGACAAATACTAACTTCACAGGCTAAACAGTTTAGCAGTATTGGCAGCAATCGAATGAATTTAATAAGAAATCTAAGTGAAATGGTTAATCTATTATTGAAATTACCAGTAAACTTATCATCAATCTCAATATGAAAAACCTAAAATAATGCAAAAAATTCAAAATAAAAATAAAAAAAACTAACCCTCGGAGGTTGATTTTCTATTTCTGAATGATTGTGAGGGATTTTTGACTGTGAATGGTTGTGAGGGATTTCGCCGGCGATGGGGACGGAAATCTTCGGAGATGGGGACGGATTTCGCCGTAGAGAGTGATAGATGGAGATGGGGCTGAGTGTTGTGTTTTTGGGTTTGAGGTTATGAGTTGCGATTACTGTGGACGGTTCAGTTTCCGATTTATTAAGAAAAAATTCGTGTTTGGAATTTGAAAAAAAAAATACGCGTTAATACGAATGGCGCTATGTAAATCGCGTTGCGAAAGTAAGAATCGCGTTGCGAAAGTCAGTATCTCGTTGCGATTTTGTATTATCGCATTGCGATAGTCAGTATCGCATTGCGATAGTCAGTATCGCATTGCGATTTTCCCAGTTCGCATTGCGATTTACTTATTCGCATTGCGAATTGGGAAAATCGCAACGATACTGTAGACCATCGCAACGCGATTTTCAACTATCGCATTGCGAAAATGCAACGCGAATTTACGATAATGGAGATCGCGTTGCGAATTAGCGATCGCATTGCGATTTTGTTGGTCATTTTGGCAAATCCGAAAAAAGTTGGTTAAAATCGTATATTATATAGGATTTTTGGTCACTGAGGTTATTTTCTCTATTATAAATAAGTTAATAATTTTATTACTCTTCATTTTTCTTATTAATAATTATTTAATAAACAAACAAGTTAACGAAAATAACATTTTAAAAAACCACGTGGGTCCTTAACCGCAGAAAAGCAATGACTTCGTACTTCACACAGTTCGCCGGCACTGAGCTTTATTAATAACCTCAACTGAAGAACATCGGCCAAACTCCGAACCAACACTGCCATCGGTCTATCTTCATTGTGGGTGTTGCGTTGTTTTTTCCACATATAATAAACTCTTGTTTTCCGTTTCCATAATGAAGAAAGCGGAGCTAATGTTTGTCCCAGCGCCTGCAATGGGCCATTTGATATCTGCAGTTCAATTGGCTAAACTTTTATTAGATCTCAATGCTAATCTCTCTATCACCATTCTTACCGTCAAGCCACAGCAAGACACTAAAATCAGCGCCTATATTGACTCTCTCACCGCCACCGCCACCGCCACTGACAGTATTCAATTCATTGACCTGTCTCAATCGTACCTAGAGGCAGATGTTTTCAAGTTTTTGAATAATTTAGCTCAAACCATAGGACCGCTTGTGAAAGAAGTCGTCACCAACATGATTGAGCACTCCAACTCAGTTCCCAACTCACCTCGACTCGCCGGGTTCGTTCTCGACTCGTTATTAACTTGTTTGATAGAGTTGGCTAACGAGTTCGGCGTTCCCAGTTATGCATTTTACACTTCGGGTGCTGGTTCTCTTGGCTTCCACCACTACACTCAAGCACTTCACGATGAGGAAAAGATTGAGTTCGGCGAGTTAAAAGACTCGGACACTAAGTTCACAGTTCCATCGTATGTCAACCCTGTTTCCATTAAATTATTTCCATCTGTAATGTTCCAGCCTGAAAGTTTTACGTTGTTCAGTAACTTGATCAAAGGGATAAGAGAAGTGAAGGGTGTATTGATCAATACGTTTTCGGAGCTTGAATCCCATGCCGTCGACTCTTTTTCTAACGGTAAGCTTCAAGTTCCGCCCATATACCCGGTGGGACCCATATTGAATCTCGAAGGCTCAAGCAATGTCCATCATAATTATGATTCAATCATGCAATGGCTTGATGAACAACCTCCTTCGTCGGTAGTGTTCCTCTGCTTCGGCAGCGACGGAAGCTTTGATACGAATCAAGTGAAAGAAATCGCCTACGCACTAGAGCAGAGTGGGCACCGATTCTTGTGGTCTTTACGACGACCGGGGAAACAAGTAATAAACATGGCACGTAGCTCAACTGATTACGAGAACGTGGAGGAGATTTTACCAAAAGGATTTTTAGATCGGACAGCTGAAACTGGTAAGATCATTGGTTGGGCACCACAAGTGGCCATCTTGGGCCACCCTGCAGTTGGAGGGTTCGTGTCGCATTGCGGTTGGAATTCAATGCTAGAAAGTATATGGTTTGGAGTGCCAATGATGGCATGGCCACTTTATTCGGAACAACAATTGAATGCTTTGACATTGGTGAGGGAGTCGGGATTAGCAGTAGAGCTTAAAATGGATTATAAGATTGATGACGGTGGGGTTGAAATTATAAAAGCTAAGGAGATAGAGAGGGGAATTAAGTTGTTGATGGGGCATGACAGTGATGTTCGAGACAGGATGAAGAAAATGAGTGATAAGAGTAGAAAGACTTTAATGGATGGCGGATCTTCACACGCTATGTTATATCGTTTTATCAGTGATATCATCACCAATATGTCATGAAAGCTTCCTTTATGGATATCATGAAAATTTCAATACATTGTCAGTGTATGAAGAAGTTAAATATATTTGTATTTGTAATTCAAGTAATTAGTGTGTGATGTTGTGAAAAGACCGAGTGTAGCTTGATCTTTGTGAGTCTCTTGGTTAGTATTTTATTTGTGCAGATTGTAATCTTGAGCTATTAGAATTTAGAATGTGAACGGAACTCGTTTGCGAACCAAACTCGTTTGCGAACCAAACAAATTGATGAAACGATACTACAAAAACAAAGATACGATCGTGATATATGTATGTATGCACCTTGCATGTCCTGGAGTGTTGGTCGCTGCTTTTATTGTGTGTTAGTGTAAGCCACAGAGTATAAGATTTTCAGACACAGCAAAGCAATGGCATCATATTTCACACAGTTTGAAGAGACTTGGCTATATTATTAACCTCGGATGAAGAACATCGGCCAAACCCCCGAACCAACACTGTCATGGATCTATCTTCACTGTTCGGTATTGCACGCTTTGTTTCCTATTTTCTTGAAGTGTTAGTCCACGTGTTCTTCGGGTTATTGCTTCGATTTCAGGTTCAAAATCTACTAGCTCTCCGAGATTATTTCTGGTCATAAATCAAAACCAACTGAATCGGTAACTTTGTCGAAGTCCCCGATAATAACGCCAATTTAACAAACATTATTTTACTATAAAATAAATTTCCTTAAACTCAAAAGAAATATAAATAACAATAGTAGTAAAAAGAGTAAGGGTCGATCTTAAGGGATTAAGGAAGCCTCTTATGAAGAAGCCTTTGGTCTTGATCTAGAAAAAAAATTAAAAGAAAAATAGAGGATTTGTTGAAAGGAATTGAATAAAGTAAAATAAATATTTTAATCTAAGTAAAAAAATGTAAAAGTTGAGATGAAATATCAATTTGATAAAAGTAGTTTCATGCTTCGCTTTGCCTCAATTTTCGTTGATCATTAAATAAGAATTTTTTTCACTTTAGATCCATGTTGATTGCAGTCTAAAGACCCAACCCCAGTAACTTATTTTTCTCTCTGGTAAATTGGCAATCCAAAATCAATCTTTGAATGACTATCATCACTAGCACCAACTTAGTTTAAAGATTTGGAAAAACTCAACTCAGACTATGTTGCTTCAATGAGAATCAAATTCGATCTCAACTTCCCTTAGCGGACCACTGTTAAGTGTGTTCACAGGAAGTCAAATGTGCTACAAGCCAATCCTTCCTCTCAATTTTAAATCGAAAAAACTAACAAGCCAACAAGTTATTTTTTATTTGAAAGCGTTAGGATTTTTAAAGGAAATGTCAATTGCCAATCAAATTTTGCAGAAAATTGACAATGTAACTCGAAGGGGCCGTTTGGTTTACGACATATGGGATTACCCGGGAAATAGAATCTTCATTCCCCCGTTTAGTTGGCCAGCATTCTCAGCCCCCGGTAATCTTTTATTACCAACAGTGGATTTTTTGTGGTATATTACCGGAATTAGATTACCCACATTCCCTTGGGTATTCTTGGATTACCGGCGTTTTGGACTAAAATACCCTTAATTTTTTTTTCAAAAATATCCTTCTTCTATCGTTGAATAATAAAAATTCTACGAAGATTAAATTACAAATTTATCCTTAAACTATTTTAGATTTACAAAAAAAAAGTCAATAATTAGAATTTTATATGAAGTTCTAGGGTTAAAATAAAATTTTACCCTTTCATTAAACCTATTTATCTTTTCAATTTTGTAAAAAAATATATATATAAATTTTATGAATTTAAAATCTTTAAAGAAAATATATAAATTAATTATAGTAATATTATAGTATAATTCAACTTGTTAAAAAACAAATATATAATAAGGACAATTTGGTAAAATATACATTTCAATAATCTTTTATTCATTTAACCAAACAATTTAATCTTACATTCCTGCTAAACCAACCAAACACAAAATACATCATTCACAATAATCTTATTTCCCGGTAATCTTTTATTCCTACTAGTAATCTTACATTCCGTGAACCAAACGCACCCAAAGGGTATTAAGTGTTTTTCAATTCTAATGATAAGAATTGAGTCATCGCTTCAGCCTTCGGCTTATGAGAAAATTAACTAAGTATGATAGAAATCATACTTAGCATTTTTAAATGATATAAAAATAAAAAGTAAAAAGCGAAAGAAAAGAAATTTTTTTATAAAATAAAGAAAACAAAGAACAAAGTAATTGGAGAAAAATGAGATATATTTGATGCTTGCCCCAAGAGGTATTTATAGTTCTCTAACACCCTAAAAATTAAGGGAAAAATAACAAAAGATGATTCTTGAGAATATTCAAATTAAATCCTAAGAATAAAAAAAGATAATTCCTAATTCGAATTTTAAATTGCGGCTAAATTATTCGACTTTCTAGAAACGTTGATTGCACCTTCTAAAAGTTATAGATAGAGAACCACGTCAATCGTTTTCATACCCAAAGTATAGCCCACTAGTCTAGCATTGATTCTAGAAAATTAAAAAAAATACAGAATTGCACCATTTTAGCATTGTTTCTACAATCCAACGTCTTGTACAGCAAATGAATAGAAAAACCCAAATCAACAATAAAAATCGACGAACAAAGAGTAATTAAAGATAAAATAGTAACTAATTCAACCACTTATCATGGCGATAGCTGCCATATCGAAACAGTGTTGAATCAAAGCCTTTTCTGGAACCATTGTTACACCAAATTAAACTTTTATAAAAAGAAATAGGATTTAATAACAAATCTCTTTTAATGATTAATATAGTTCTGTCCTTAGTTACAAGACTTCGAAACATGTTAGATACTCAACATTTCTTCGTGCTGAGTGTTGTGACATTTAACAGGGTTTAATCCTAACTTGGACTCATCATGGCTTTTAAAATGTTCAAGTTCAATCTAATAAGCTTGAAATTTTTATATCCTCACTAAATATAAGGCCATGTTTAGGCCTACAATCAACTTAGTACACACGGATATTAATACAATATGATTATTGATTAGTGATTGTTTGTGATTTCTCTAATGGTCGGCTTAACATAGCAGTACAAAAATATAGGTTTATATAATCACCATTTTTCAGCATCAGAAGTCGAAGGCAGTTCACCCACCACACCTACTCCCATCATCCTTGTTCCCTGCAGAAATTGGCGCAAAATCACTCATCAATTTGTATTTTTTTATGTTGAAATCGGTCTATATAAACCTGATCAAAATATGAAAGAAGAGGAGGGGGGAGAATTCGAACAGAAACGAAGGAAATAATTGTAGGGGATTTTTGAGATTTCCAAATCTACAACAAAAAAGCAATAAAAGAGCAATTTTTTTTAGGTATTCTTATTTAATTTTTAGTTTTCGAATGATATAAAAAAATTATTTTGCATGTGTAATATAAAAAATCGAGAGGATAAAATATTTTACCTTGGTCTGAGATCTTCGCGGTGGTCTGGGCAAGTGGAAACCGAATGGTCGGGGAGTTTTTTAGTCATTTAGGTTGTTTTAGAGGTTTTTAGTCCTAGATCTAGGTTTAGGGGATTAGATCTGAGTATTTGAGAGATTTTGGGGTTGTTTGGAGATTTCCGGCCCTCGTTCTGGGCCGATAAGAGTTGCGCGCGTTGAACCGGCTGGGGGAGAGTTGAGAGAATCCTCCCCATTTTTTTTTGGGTTTTTGTGAGAAATGAAACAAAAAAGCTTAAAAGTAGTATATATAGACAATATAAATGGTCTATTGCATCATAAATACCTCTAATTTTACCGTATTTTTTCATTTTGGTCACTATTAGGGACCATTTTCGTGATTTTCCATTTTCTGTTTGTGTTTTGATATTTTTGGTTAATCCACTATTTTAGTCTCTATAAGTTTATCGTTGTTTTAATTTAGTTTTTTTTAAATACTCATATATTAATTATATTATAGTCATGTATATAGAAATAGGTATAAACGTAAATATTATGCACTAAACAATTATACTATAAGATCCACACTTTAAATAGAATTGTGATTATTTACCTGGAATGTTATTGATTATAATATTTCTTTTATATGTTTGTTTCCATATGTTTGCATTGTAATCTAGTATATTTTTAGTCTGTTAATGATTCCCATCCGAAAACTACTTCACAAATTGCTAAAGTTAATTGATTTTGTCTATATATTTTTGCACACTTTTTAAACTTGACCGTTAATGCCATAGTATTTCCTGTCTTTATTTTAGTTTCCATTTAAGCTTTTAGGATTTGGTGGATTCATGTTTATTTGATTTCTTTTCCATTTATTATTTATCTTATATTTGGTTATTTCATTTTCTCATCGTGTTAATTAATTTTTTATTTGCATTTATTAAGTTTTTATCATTTACTTGGTTTATAAATGTGTTCTTTTATTTATTTTAAATTATGATTCCAAGTTTGCTTAATTTAGTGCTGTGATACTTGATTTTAGATGAAATCCTTCAGATTTAGATTCTTTTCAATTTAGTCCATAATTAGAGCCTAAGATTATAGATTTAAACCTATAGACTTAGATTTCTTGCATTTTAGTCATAACTTAGAAATTTTTATACTTAAATTAGGAGAATTCTTAATTTGGTCATCGCTTTTGCTTAAGGTTTCAATCTAATTATTCGAATTGCAATATTTATTAAAATTAGTTTAAGTTGATATTAGCCTCTATTTTAGATTAGATTTCAAACTAGTCTTTTAATTTAGGGGATAATTCGAGTCGGCCCTCGCTTAAACGCTCGAGGGACCATCTCAGTTATTCTATCAATAATTAATTAAAATGAAATAGGATTAATATTAGAATCTACGTTCTTAGGCTTGAGCCCCTAGGTTCTTTCATTTTCATAATTTGACATCATAGGTTAGAAAAAGCCTTAATTTATTTTTAGTATAATTAGGATTAAATAAAATTTCTCTTATTGCATTGTTTTTAAAACTTAAGGCGTTGTTCATTTATTAAGGAGTTAATAGTATATCCTCCGCGATCATGCTTAGAGGGTGACTACTGGTAATTCTCTAAATAAGTCGACATCCTTTTCAAAACCACATCATGTTTTCTAAAAATGAGGCAATGTTCGGTTATTAGACACAATAGCTGATCTCCCGCATTTACGCTCGGGGGCGAATGTTATCGGTTTCAATAAACGAATATCCTTTTCAAACTCTGCATCCTTAATGATTTTTAAGTTAAATAAAGATCGAATTAAAAATTTCCAATTTTAAATATAGGGTAACCAACTAGGTACCAATTTTTGGGCGCTTGTGGGGGTGCTAATCCTTCCCCACGCGTAACCGACTCCCGAACCTGATTTTTGGATTTTTGCAGACCCCAAAACTCGATATTTTATTAAAATAAAATATTTTATTAAAATCACCCGATTTTTATGGTGTTCCAATCTCACCTTAAATGATTAGTGGCGACTCCTCACATTTTTAAACGATTTTCAAAGAGAAAACCCCGAGTAGGTATCGGTCTTTCCCCACCTAGGCGAAAAACGGTGTCGACAGCTTGGCGACTCTACTGGGGAGTTTTGTTTTTAAAACAAATTGAGAATCAAGCCACGAGTTGGTTACCATGTATTTACTATTTTGGAAATTACGAGTTCGATCTTATTTAATTTACTGTTCATTATGTTATTTCAAAAAAGAAAAAAATAGATTTCACTCTGGTTAATGCTTACATTTTTATGAATATTTAGGATTGTTGCATATCATAGCTCTAAACCCGAGCTCAAACTTGGTTTACCTAAGTAGGGAGAAACGTCACACCTCACGAGGAGCATTGGGCTTCCTTGTGTGGGTCTGATAAAGTATCTCTGGAAAGCACCCTAAGTTGCCTATCCGGATATCGGATCCGAGGTACGCTTTTAGTGGTGTGATCCCCTGAGTTGAACCTGATTCGCAAGTCTGTAACGGGTCAGAATCGGGGGGCAACCTTAGCAGGTTGTAAAGATAGCTTGGGAACCTTTGCTAGAACCCAACCTCATATAGAGAATTTAGTAAGCCTACCCCACTAGAGCTATGTGGATACCTAGGAGAACTAGAACGCATGCGGTTAGGATTATTAATTTTCTTTGTATGTTTGTTTTTTCAGTCTCAACTTTGAGTCATATTTATTTATTTTTGCTAAGATTACATATTTGGACTAATCTTTTCAACTAACTTGATTCTTTTGTTTCTACTAACATTGGTTTCCTTTTGTCTGCTCTTATTGCATTTTTGCATGAACATGACATATCATTCAAAGGTATTGATCCTTAAATAACTGATCATTTAGAAGGTTCTTGAAAAACAATACCACAACAATGTCTTTCTCTGGGATCGACATGATTTCGAAGATGCTCCACGTTAGATCGAGTAGCTAGAGAGAGTCTACCTACCAAGGAGACGAGCCGGACGTATACCTGCTGAGGTAACAAGTTGAATTCAAGAAGATTCAACGCTGAAGCCAATAGTTGAATACCACGAACCAGCTCAAAAAAGACTTCTGAAAGAAATAGGTGAGGTAGAAGCATTGAAGACGATGCAGTACCAGATGCTTGCAGGAGCTAGGCAACTTACAGATGGACCAGATTTTCACTTCCCCAGTGTACCGAGACATTGTCGATCTTTTAAAAATTGTTCTAGAAACAATTATTTTGGGATCAATGTCTTTTGCATACATTCATTTTGCATGACATTTACATTCACCAATACATTGTCGAATCATACATTAAACCGTTCATTCATTAAAATAATGATAATAAGATAAGGTTTCCGATCGCAGTGATCTAGGTTTACACTAGTAGCGAGAACACCTATCATCTGCATGCGAAATAAAATGCTGGAAGAAATAGAGGTTAAGTTAGCCAAAATTGAGAGAGAACAGAAAGAGATGCAAGAAGAAATGAGAAACAAGTTGACACAAATGGAAGCTAGTATCACAAACTCTCATCTCGATCTACTGAACAAGGTGGAAGAAATGTTTAGAGGACATTTGACTGCTGGAAAGACCACTATGGAAGACCCCATACATCCTCCGGGTTTCACACATGTTCACATTCCAGAGCACACCTCTTCGCGTCAAGAAATCAGATCACCAGGCTACTTCACAGTCGAGAACCCACAATATCAGGTCGAAGCTTCATTCCCCATTGATTTTCCTGCTGCGTCTGGGCTGAAGCCAGGTGAACGTTGTACTAATATGGAGGTCCCTGACCTATATGAATTAGCTGAAAGGGAAAAGATTGTCCAAAGAGTGAAAAATATAGAAGAGATGGTAAAATCCAAGGAGATAGTCAATGAATTCTATGGGAGTGACGCAAGGGATCTAAGTTTGGTTCCTGACCTCATATTACCCCCGAAGTTCAAATCACCAGACTTCGAAAAATACAACGGGACCACTTGCCCATCGGCCCACCTCACCATGTTCTGCAGGAGAATGACAGGTTATACTGAAAATGAGAAGCTTCTAATACATTGCTTCCAAGATAGTCTGACTGGATATACGGTCAAATGGTACAATCAGTTGACTCGATCCCAAATTAAATCATGGAGGGACTTGGCACGAGCATTTTTGGAGCAGTATCGTCATGTCACTGACCTGGTACCTGACAGGTGGATGTTGCAAAACATGGAAAAGCGAAACCTTCAGGCAGTACGCCCAAAGATGGCGCGATGTGGCATCACAAGTACAACCCCCATTGCTGGAGAAGGAGGCTACAATTATCTTTGTGAATACCTTGAAGGCTCCATATCTGGGGCATCTGGTAGGAAATGCTACTAAGAACTTTGTCGACCTGGTCATTTCCGGGGAATTAATCGAGAATGCCATTAGGAATGGTAAGATAGGAGGCTCTCACAATATCGAAGTTAAGAAAGGAGTCGATGTCAATACAGTGAGTTCTTATTCAGTTAATCGTAGGACCAAACCTTATAAAATGACCCGAGAGAAGACCCCTATCGGTGAAATTCCAATGACATATGAAGAGCTGCTCCCAATACTAGTTGAGAAGAATCTCGTGACCCCAGTTATGTCTAAGCCGAAAGAACCTTCATTTCCTGAGGGGCATGATGTTAATGCAGTATGTAGCTATCACATGGGAAGCTCGGGGCATACTACTGAGAATTGTGGGGTATTGAAGCACAAGGTTCAACACTTAATCGATTCAGGGGCATGGACATTCGAAGGATGATAGAGCATTCTGATGCAAACCGAGAAAAATCATTGCAACCACTACGAACTTTTGATGCACTCGCATATTGTCTTGTTTGAATTTATTTTCTTTCTCTTTTCGTTAAAAAATTTGTAAGTCACTTGACAATCAAACATTTTAAGTAAAATGCTACCTTCTGAGGTTATAAGCAAAGAATAATTTTCAGACTCGAAATTCTTTAAATATCCACTGGATTAAAAGCTCTTTTAAGAATCAGAGTTATAGATCTTTGATAAATTGAAATATTGAAAACTAATAAAACAAATACCCTTGACCTTACCACAGATGATACACTTGAACCCCATACCCTTCTCTTGCAGGGACCACTATAACCTTCTCCTCTCATGAGGAAACGACTAAAGGCTTGACATTCAGGTATGAATAGGAGCGGACAACATGGGGCATCTCTTGTGTATGACATTGCAGAACTACCTAGACTACACTTCTGCTGAAGACGTTCAGTGATGATACTAGTCTTCGCAAATGAAATGGTGGAGTAGATGAATTTAGTTTAGGTCAGTTGTTTGGGAACTGAACTCTAAATATGAGATTTCCTGACAATCAAGGACACATAGACTATAACAGGTTCTTCTCGATAAACTTAAGAAATTCTAAATCTGAATACTCGAAAGGCTAATAAATTATTAATATATATTATATAATAAAGATGAGCTATTCTGCTAAAGCAATTGGTTATAGAGGTAACTCAAAAGCCCTGTCTTTATGAATAGATTGCATTCAAACCATGACATTATTCGGATACTCGGCAATTCGATGTTTGCTCCACTGTAATTGTCAAGTCAAAGATCTTGTGATGAGACGAACCCTTCAGCTAGCCCAATGAGGGAAAATATAAGGTATATACAATAAAGCTGAATTAAGCTAGCTGAAAATGGCAAATTAAATCAAATTGATCTAATAATGAGTTTCGATGAAAATGGACTAAGGGAATCGGGGAACACTTGTTATAGTCAACCTCACACAAGCACGCAGGAATTTTATGTTTAGAATGATGTCCCTACACTACCTTTGTTAAAGGAAGTCTATGAAGCTTGAACAAATGAAAGATTTTAGAGAACCAAAACAGAAGTTTTCTAGAAAATCTAGTGATTGATTATACTAGTTGCGTCATTTTGTCCGCATCTGATTAAAAAGTCAAGCTAAAGAAGAGGGGCATGTCGAAGACCGAAGAAGAGATGACATTTTGATGATTGAAACCTTAGAAACTTAAGGGAGCTAACTTGAAACCAACCCATCAATTTTTATACTTGGCAAAGAGGTATAACTTTGAAAGATTAAAAGAGCTGTTGATTCTCTTGATATTTATTGAACTCATGTTCTGAGATTTGCTTCAATTGTGAGCCTAAAAGAATGACGTTTTCTTAAACAAACTTTCCATATTTTGAAAATAAAAAGAACGAAAACATTTTTAAACAGGACAATCTCTTTGGAGAGTCTAGCCTGGAAATTGACAGAGGTCCTTCAGACCTAGAAACTCAGAATCAGAAATTGGGGCAAAGAATTTGAATGTTAGGGAGCCAAGAAAATAGATGTTTACAAAGAAATGCGATGGTACACCTTGGTGTGAGAGAAGAATGAAGTCGAACATATCAAAAAGAGAACCAGGATTGCATGAGCACCTTTTCACTGCTATTAATCAAGAAAAACATGCATTACACACATGAATTTGCATTTTTGCATCAAACATCCATCATCAGGATAGTTACATCCAGATACATTTTACAAATCTTTCAGGAGAAGATGAGATTACAAGACAATGAGACGTCCTCAAAAGAGGGAACAATCATCTTCAGATTCAACATTTCGAAACAAATTTTGTCTCGCTTGAACAGTCTCATTTAATGCAGAGGATTTATCTCACTTGAGATTGTTTTTCTTAAAAAGATTTGTCTCGCTTGAGATAATTTTTACTCGAAAGAAAACATTTCACTTCACTTAAGATTGTTTTTAAAGAAGATTGTATCTCGCTTGAGATAGTTTCCCTCGAAACACAAGATTTTGTCTCGCTTGAGATATTTTCCCTCGAAACAGAAGATTTTATCTCGCTTGAGATAGTTTCCCTCAAAACAGAAGATTTTGTCTCACTTGAGATAGTTTCCCTCGAAACAGAAAATTTTGTCTCACTTGAGACATTTTTCTTGAAACACAAATCTTTAAGATCATTTCCCTCTAAATGAATTTTTTCTCCCTTGAGACAGTTTCTCTGGAAACAAAGTTTTATCTCTATATAGACAGTTTCCCTCGAAATTTTTATTTATTTATTTCACTTGGGATAGTGAAGAAAAAGATTTCAGAAAAGAATTAGTCCACTTTTCAATCATTGAAAATGTGGATCTCAGCAAAATTTGAGTACTTTTGGGTCAATACCTTCGGGTACTTCAAACACAAATTACTGACACATAATAATCTTTTGCAGGTTTGAAAATCTTCAAAGAGAAGATAAACCAATCAACATTTCCAATACATAATTCGTAATGAAGAGATTGTTCAACTTTTTGCTCGATTCTATCACGGAAGGAGAAGGAGTTGGATCAACGTCAACTTTTTGCTCGATTCTATCACAGAATGAGGTGGATCGACATTTTTATTTTCGCTCAAATCCATCGCAGAAGGAGTTGGATCAACGTCAACTTTTTGCTCGATTCTATCACAGAATGAGGTAGATCAGCATCGACATATCGTTCGATTTCATTACAGAAGAAGGTGGATCGACATTTTTATTTTCGCTCAAATCCATCGCAGAAGGATTTGGATCAGCGCCAACTTTTAGCTCGATTCTATCACAGAAGGAGAAGGAGTTGGATCAGCTTCAACTTCTTGCTCGATTCATGACATATGGAGTTGAATCGGCAACACCTCTCTAGAGGGATCAACATTTCCAGTGGAAAGACCAGGATGAGAAGAACTCATAATCAGAAGAACTGAAGATGAAGACTCAACCATTAGAACGAAGATCACAGCGTGACAAGAAGAGACCAAGATGAAAAATGGTGCTTTATTATCTTTGCTCCATTCCCGTTTCACAACAATGAGCAAATAGAGGCAGTTGTAATCACCATTTTTCAGCATCAGAAGTCAAAGGCAGTTCACCCACCACACCTACTCCCATCATCCTTGTTCCCTGCAGAAATTGGCTCAAAATCACCCATCAATTTGTATTTTTTTAATGTTGAAATCGGTCTATATAAACCCGATCAAAATATGAAAGAAGAGGAGGGGGAATTCGAACAGAAACGAAGGAAATAATTGTAGGGGATTTTTGAGATTTCCAGATCTACAACAAAAAAGCAATAAAAGAGCAATTTTTTAGGTATTCTTATTTATTTTTTAGTTTTCGAATGATATAAAAAAATTATTTTTCATGTGTAATATAAAAAACCGAGAGGGTAAAATATTTTACCTTGGTCTGAGATCTTCGCGGTGGTCGGGGCAAGTGGAAACCGAATGGTCGGGGAGTTTTTTTAGTCATTTAGGTTGTTTTAGAGGTTTTTAGTCCTAGATCTAGGCATAGGGGACTAGATCTGAGTATTTGGGAAATTTTGGGGTTGTTTGGAGATTTCCGGCCACCGTGCACGGCGGCCGGAGCGACAGCTGGGCCGATAAGAGTTGTCGGCGTTGAACCGGCTGGGGGAGAGTTGAGAGAACCCTCCCCATTTTTTTTGGGTTTTTGTGAGAAATGAAACAAAAAAGCTTAAAAGTAGTATATATAGACAATATAAATGGTCTAATTGCATCATAAATACCTCTAATTTTACCGTATTTTTTCATTTTGGTCACTGTTAGGGACTATTTTCGTGATTTTCCATTTTCTGTTTGTGTTTTGATATTTTTGGTTAATCCACTATTTTAGTCTCTATAAGTTTATCGTTGTTTTAATTTAGTTTTTTTTAAATACTCATATATTAATTATATTATAGTCATGTATATAGAAATAGGTATAAACGTAAATATTATGCACTAAACAATTATACTATAAGATCCACACTTTAAATAGAATTGTGATTATTTACCTGGAATGTTATTGATTATAATATTTCTTTTATATGTTTGTTTCCATATGTTTGCATTGTAATCTAGTATATTTTTAGTCTGTTAATGATTCCCATCCGAAAACTACTTCACAAATTGCTAAAGTTAATTGATTTTGTCTATATATTTTTGCACACTTTTTAAACTTGACCGTTAATGCCATAGTATTTCCTGTCTTTATTTTAGTTTCCATTTAAGCTTTTAGGATTTGGTGGATTCATGTTTATTTGATTTCTTTTCCATTTATTATTTATCTTATATTTGGTTATCTCATTTTCTCATCGTGTTAATTAATTTTTTATTTGCATTTATTAAGTTTTTATCATTTACTTGGTTTATAAATGTGTTCTTTTATTTATTTTAAATTATGATTCCAAGTTTGCTTAATTTAGTGCTGTGATACTTGATTTTAGATGAAATCCTTCATATTTAGATTCTTTTCAATTTAGTCCATAATTAGAGCCTAAGATTATAGATTTAAGAGAAAATCGCCTCAGTGACCAAAAATGCCTTATAATATACGATTTTAACCAACTTTTTTTGGATTTGCCAAAATGACCAACAAAATCGCAATGCGAAATAAAAATCGCAACGCGGTCTCCAGAATCGCAACGCGATTATGAAGAATCGCAACGCGATTATGAAGAATCGCAATGCGATAGTACAAATTCGCATTGCGATTTTCCAGAATCGCAACGCGAATATGAAAATCGCAACGCGAACATATAAATCGCAACGCGATTCTGACTATCACAACGAGTATCCGTAAAATCACAACGCGTATCCGTAAATCGCAACGACAATACGTAAAATCGCAATGCGTATCCGTAAATCGCAATGAGAATACGTAAATCGCAATGCGTATCTGTAAATCGCAACGAGAATACGTAAATCGCAATGCATATCCGTAAATCGCAACGACAATACGTAAAATCGCAACGCGTATCCATAAATCGCAACGCGATTTTTAAAGCGCCATTAGAATCACTAGGCGTATTTTATTTTCAAATTCCAAACACGAATATTAATTATCGGAACACTGAACCGTCCACAGTATATCCCGTAATCGCAACTCATAACCTATAACCTAAAATCTCAACTCAATCCCATCTCCATCTCTCACTCTCAACGGCGAAATCCATCCCCATCTCCGAAGATTTCCGTCCCCATCTCCGGCGAAATCCCTCACAACCATTCACGGTCAGAAATCCCTCACAATCATTCAGAAATGGAAAATCAACCTCCGAGGGTTAGTTTTTTTAATTATTTTTATTTTGAAAATTTTGCATTATTTTAGGTTTTTCATATTGAAATTGATAATAAGTTTACTGGTAATTTCAATAATAGATTAACCATTTCACTTAGATTTCTTATTAAATTCATTCGATTGCTGCCAATACTGCTAAACTATTTAGTGTTTAACCCTGTGAAGTTAGTATTTGTCTTTGTTTTGTCTTTTGGTTGAAGTAATGCAATCCATTAAAGTTTCAATTTGCAGAAGAAGAATAGTTTCTAAACTTAAAATCGCAACATGAAAATGACTATCGCAACGAGAGAAATGAAAATCGCAACGCGAAATGAAAATCGCAACGAGAGAATCGCAACGCGAAACCAAAATCGTATTACGATTTTCATTTCGCGTTGCGATTTTAATTTCGCATTGCAATAGTCATTTCGCGTTGCGATTTTCATTCTCTCGTTGCGATTTTCATTTCAACCAAAAGATAAAACAGTGTTGCAAATTTTAGTTTCAAGAATAAACTACTACTCTTTATGTTTATTGTTTTTGGTATATATTCACAGTGTAGTTTTTGGTATATCTAACTTGGTATGTTTATTTTTTTTGTAGAAAATTTTTTCGGCTTCATTGACATTAAGGAATAAAGTTAGCCTAGCCACTACAATTGCTTCGAAGCTTTCACCTGCATAAAGAAAATTATTTGAGGAAACCTGCTTTGGGCCATTGCTGAGAGTACAACATCCGGGTGGAGATGCTAATTTGACCCATTTGTGGCTTCAGACCATGACTAGCGATCTACCCGACAGTATACAATGTGGTGAGGAAGAGATATGGTTTCATTTTCCACCGGCGTATACTTGTTTTGGGCGGAAGAAGTTCTGCTTAATCACTGGTCTACGATTCGGACACGATGATGTAGGCCGGTACACTCGTCATATCACCCGCCCATCATGGTTATCCCGGGTTTTTCCTAATGAGTCAATAGAGAAGCCGAACTTACACGTCGACGACCTGAAGAAATTGTTTAATAAGAAAGATGGTTTTACTCGGATGAATGACGTCGATGTTGTCTGAGTATGCCTTCTAGTACTTTTGTATGCCGGCTTTTTAGGCAGAGAGGCCAGACAACCTATTCCTCAGGAGCTAATATTATTGGTAGAGGACCTAAATGCATGGAATCTGTTTCCGTGGGGTTCGTATATATGGAAAGCTACCTGGACTAAGTTGTCATCTGCCTTTGATGACCGCAAAAGTTTGCGTGGCGATGGGTCGAAATACACTTTGTCAGGCTTTGTTTGGGCCTTTAAGGTAAGAATTTCTATATAATGTTTTCAAAATTATAATTAATTATTTAACAATTACTAATGTTTGTTATTATATTGTTTGTAGATTTGGATATTCGAGGCTTTCCCCAGCATGCGGACATATGCATTAAAAACTTCAAATGATATTCCTAGGGCTATTTCCTGGAAGAGGAAACGTCTGTTGGATTGGGAAGACTTAATACCATATGCGACAATAAATAATATAAGTTAACACAAATACTATCATATATAAACAAGTTATTAATAGTAGACGTTTAACTTTGTTTGATTTTTTATATTTTTAGGAGGCCAACACTCCATTACAGAGACTGACACCCACGGAGGCTGAGCTTGCCACTGATTGGTGACAAGCTAGTCAGCGTTTTTTTGATGGCACGAATGATGAGCAACCTCCACTTCCTCCACTTCGAGAGCCATCACCTCACCCAGAGCCATCACCTGATCGACCCGACTATACACCTCTACAACGAGAGCCATCACCTATCCCGTCACATCATCGAGCCTCTTCTCCACCATCACCTCATGATAGGCGACCGGCAAAGATGCCACGACTTCTATCTCCCTGTTCTCCACCTCCACGGGATGAGTCAAGGGAGTTACGTGATGAGGTCAATGCCTTGCGTGAGGAGATCGGTACTCTACGTGATAACGATGGTGCATGGCGTGTGGAGGTGTATACTTTACGTGGTGAGGTTGCCGCTCTACGTGAGATGGTAGTATCGTTGCAGAATGAGGTTCATACTCTACGCAACGAGGTAAGTTTAAGATTTTCCATATTTAACTTGATGATAAATTTACTCGTAATTTCACTTAGATTAACCATTTCACTTAGATTGCTTAGTAAATTTATTCGGTTGCTGCCAATACTACTAAACTGTTTATTCTTTAACACTGTGAAGTTAGTATTTGTCTTTTGTTTTGTCTTTTGGTTGAAGTAAATTTATTCGGTTGCTGCCAATTCTGCTAAACTGTGTATTCTTTAACACTGTGAAGTTAGTATTTGTCTTTGTTTTGTCTTTTGGTTGAAAGTAAATTTGTTCGGTTGCTGCCAATTCTGCTAAACTGTGTATTCTTTAACACTGTGAAGTTAGTATTTGTCTTTGTTTTGTCTTTTGGTTGAAAGTAAATTTGTTCGATTGCTGCCAATTCTTCTTCTGCAAATTGAAACTTGAATGAATTGCATTACTTCAACCAAAAGACAAATACTAACTTCACAGTGTTGAAAATTTAAGTTTCAAGAATAAACTACTACTCTTTATGTTGTCATTGAACCTGCACTAAACCTATATGTTGTCCTTTTAAATGTTTATATAAGTGCTTACTTCTGGAATGTTATCTGATGCATTTTGCGAATAATGATATAATAATGACTTGGGTGAATACCGTGCAAGTTTGAAATATATTTGTCTTTGTTCTCACTGTTTAATATCATGTCTGTTTATTTACTAATTTATGTATTAATTTATTTTTAGCGGCCCGCTAAGGTGTATGCTCTACGTCGGGTCTTTCTTGCAAGACGGAGTTCACACATCAGACGGCGTGCGCGTGTCATTACGTCTCCGTTCACCCCAATAGTGCAAAGAATCCGTAAGAAAAAGCTCGACTCACCTGTCATCGTTCAAGAGGCCTCCCCTATCGTTCAAGAGGCCCCTATCATCCCTCAAGAGTCCCCTCCCACCGTTCAAGAGGCCACTGTCATCGTTGAAGAAGTCCCTCCCAATATTCTAGAGCCCGATTCACACGGCGTAATATATCGAATTATTGAGAAGCCCCCTCACATGCCGGACATGATGGATGACTGTTGGCTTTCGTATAAGTTACCGGCCAATACCATTCCGGCAGATGAAGTGGAGAGGAAACAACTACCGGAAACAATTCTGGATAATACCCTTTGGGCTAAGACCGCAGTTGATTTTTATCTACATGAGCGAGGCCAAGGGTGTTACGCTGACATATACAAACTCAACGATGATATGCATTTGTTGATTGAACGGTCTTGGTGGGGTGTATTATTAGGGGTTGAAGACAACGGCTATTTCGATGGGGGATAAGTCTTATATTTCTTATATTTTAGTTTGATTAATTTTTTTAAAAATTTATGTAATTCACTAATATATGTATTTTTTTGTAAAACAGCATATTGATGCATGGGTGACACGTCTTCTAATTGTAAGGAAATTGAAGAAAAATATTAAAAAAAATGCGATATACAATTATACCGACGTATTTTCACGTAGTTCACTTGAAGAATCAATGACAGGAATCATATGTGTTGGCTAATGGACAAGCTAAACTTTATCCTGCATGGTGGGAGGTCGATAAGGTTAGTATATTTGTTTAAATATTTTAAAGGTGTTCATAAATAAGTGCGCAATTTGAATTATTACATTTCGATGCAGGTGTTTATCCTTGTTTTGGACTGTACTCTGTTTTGGACTGTACTCATTGGCTTCTCGTCGAGCTTCAACTCCCATCCCTAAAGATAATAGTATATGACAGCATGATAAATTACATATCATTGTCTGATTTGAGAGATATGATTAAGGGATGGAGCTCTCATTTGGCTAAATTCTTGGATGCAATTGATTATTGGACTAAGTCTGGAAACAAGAAGCCAAAGAAGTTCAATGTTATAGTTATCAAAGACGAGACCGCGCCACAACAAACGAAGGAAGCCAGAGGGGATTGTGGTCCTCTCGTATGCATGTGCTTAGAGCGTTTGACGACAGGAAATACACATTTTCTACCTCCCACCGATAGAGATAAAGGTGCAATAGGCTTGTGGTTTCGACATTTTATGGCTAGAGCGATATATGCGAGACGCTGCCTACCTGCATCCGCGTTATGAAAGTGTCCATAAACAATTTGTAAGTCAAATGCAAGTGTTGTTAAACATATTTACTCTTTTTGGTTTGAAAATGTTTGGTTAAGTAGCTAGAATTCAATAATTTGTTGTTTGTAGGTTTTAGATGTGTAGAAAGTGTTGTTGATTCAATGTTTGGTTTCTGCAGGTTAATCCTGAAGTGAGTTGCGTGAAATGGATGTATGGGTGCAAAAGTTGATTTCATTATTATTTTTTGATTGTTTAATTGATTTGTAAAAGATGATTTGTAAATGTTGATTTGTTTAATTGATGTGTACATAATATTTGTGCTTGTTTAATTGATTGAAATATAATAGTTGATTTGTTGATTTCAATCTGCATTATGTTGAATGCAAAATAGACTATCACAACGCGGAAATGACTACCGCAACGAGAGAATCGCAATGCGAAATGAAAATCACAACGAGTGAATCGCAATGCGATTACTATTTTCGCATTGCGATTCACTCGTTGCGATTTTCATTTCGCATTGCGATTTTACGTATTGTCGTTGCGATTTATGGATACGCATTGCGATTTACGTATTCTCATTGTGATTTACAGATACGCGTTGCGATTTACGTATTCTCGTTGCGATTTACGGATACGCGTTGCGATTTACGGATACGCATTGCGATTTACGGATACGCGTTGCGATTTTACGGATACTCGTTGCGATAGTCAGAATCGCGTAGCGATTTTCATATTCGCGTTGCGATTCTGGAAAATCGCAATGCGAATTTGTACTATCGCATTACGATTCTTCATAATCGCGTTGCGATTCTGGGAACTGATTTGCGATTCTGGAGACCGCGTTGCGATTTTTATTTCGCATTGCGATTTTGTTGGTCATTTTGGCAAATCTAAAAAAAGTTGGTTAAAATCGTATATTATAAGGCATTTTTGGTCACTGAGGCGATTTTCTCTAGATTTAAACCTATAGACTTAGATTTTTTGCATTTTAGTCATAACTTATAAATTTTTATACTTAAATTAGGATAATTCTTAATTTGGTCATCGCTTTTGCTTGAGGTTTCAATATAATTATTCGAATTGCAATATTTATTAAAATTAGTTTAAGTTGATATTAGCCTCTATTTTAGATTAGATTTCAAACTAGTCTTTTAATTTAGGGGATAATTCGAGTCGGCCCTCGCTTAAACGCTCGAGGGACCATCTCAGTTATTCTATCAATAATTAATTAAAATGAAATAGGATTAATATTAGAGTATACGTTCTTAGGCTTGAGCCCCTAAGTTCTTTCATTTTCATAATTTGACATCATAGGTTAGAAAAAGCCTTAATTTATTTTTAGTATAATTAGGATTAAATAAAATTTCGCTTATTGCATTGTTTTTAAAACTTAAGGCACTGTTCATTTATTAAGGAGTTAATAGTATATCCTCCGCGATCATGCTCAGGGGGTGACTACTGGTAATTCTCTAAATAAGTCGACATCCTTTTCAAAACCACATCATGTTTTCTAAAAATGAGGCAATGTTCGGTTATTAGACACAATAGCTGATCTCCCGCATTTACGCTCGGGGGCGAATGCTATCGGTTTCAATAAACGAATATCCTTTTCAAACTCTGCATCCTTAATGATTTTTAAGTTAAATAAAGATCGAATTAAAAATTTCCAATTTTAAATATAGGGTAACTAACTAGGTATCAATTTTTGGGTTGTGGGGGTGTTAATCCTTCCCCACGCTTAACAGACTCCCGAACCTGATTTTTGGATTTTTGTAGACCCCAAAACTCTATATTTTATTAAAATAAAATATTTTATTAAAATCACTCGATTTTTATGGTGTTCTAATCTCACCTTAAATGATTGGTGGCGACTCTTCACATTTTTAAACGATTTTCAAAGAGAAAACCCCGAGTCGGTATCGATCTTTCTTACCCAGGTGAAAAATGGTGTCGACAGTTTAGTTACAATTTTATTATTTTTTTGTTCTTTTTCTTATTTTATTTACATGACAAGATTACAATTCTAAAAAAATACCACAATCTTTTGAACCCACACATTCATTTTTCTTTCTAACATTAATATTCAACTACCCAGATTCAGTTTTAAATATAAAACCAAATCACATTAAAGAACCGACAGCTGGTACTCGTTTGTGAACCACGATTACAAAGTACAGAGGCTAAATTGGGTAATTTCTCCTTACAAATTTTCCACCATTTCAACGGTCATAATTTGACCACCGAATTCAAATTTGGTTGCAGTCAAATTTGACTTTCAACACTACGTACAATAAGGGATAAGGTTTGCCGACACATCAAGCAATGGCATCGTACTTCACACTCACACAGTTTGACGAGAATTAGCTTTATCAGTAACCTCAAGTGAAGAACATCGGCCAGACCCCAAACCAACACTGCCATCGATTGATATTCACTGTTCGGTGTTGCATTGTCTGTTCCACATATAACCCTTCTTTTGCGTTTCCACGATGAAGAAAGGGAAGCTAGTGTTCGTTCCAGCGCCTTTAATGGGCCATTTGATACCTGCAGTTCAATTGGCTAAACTTTTATTACATCTCAATTATAACCTCTCTATCACCGTCCTCACCGTCAAGCCACCAGAAGACGCTAGAATCAACGCCTACATTGACTCTCTCGCCGCCGCCGCCGCCACCACCACCAGCCGTATTAAATTCATCAGCCTCTCTCAATCTTACCCAGAGGTAGATGTTTTGAAGTTTTTGACTAATTTACCTCAAACCGTAGGACCGCTTGTGAAAGAAGTCGTCGCCAACATAGTTGAGCAATCCAACTCAGTTCCAAACGCACCTCGACTCGCCGGGTTCGTTCTCGACTCGTTATTAACTTGTTTGGTAGAGTTGGCTAACGAGTTTGGCGTTCCTAGTTATGCATTTTACACTTCGGGTGCTGGTTCTCTTGGCTTCCACCTCTACGCTAGGGCCCTTCACGATGAAAAAAAGATTGAGTTCGGCCAGATAAAAGACTCGGACACTAAATTCACAGTACCATCGTATGCCAACCAGGTTTCCATTAAATTATTTCCAGCTGTTCTTTTGCAGCCTGAAAGTTTTACATCATTCAGTAACTCGATAAAATGGATGAGAGAAGTGAAAGGTATATTGATTAATACGTTTTCGGAGCTTGAATCCCATGCCGTTGACTCCCTTTCTAAAGATGAGCTTCAAATTCCTCCCATTTACCCTGTGGGCCCCATATTAAACCTCGAAGGCTCAAGCAATGTCCATCAGAATTATGATACAATCATGCAATGGCTTGATGAACAACCTCGTTCGTCGGTAGTGTTTCTCTGCTTCGGGAGCATGGGATGTTTCAGTACGGATCAGGTGAAAGAAATCGCCTACGCACTAGAGCAGAGTGGGCACCGATTCTTGTGGTCTCTACGAGGACCGGGGGAACAAGTAAAGGACTTGATGTATGGCGTAACTGATTATGAGAACGAGGCAGAGGTGTTACCAGAAGGGTTCATAGACCGAACTGTTGGAATTGGTAAGGTCGTTGGTTGGGCACCGCAAGCGGCCATCTTGGGCCACAATGCAACCGCAGGGTTCGTATCGCACTGCGGTTGGAATTCGACGTTAGAAGGTATATGGTTCGGAGTGCCAATGGTGGCATGGCCACTTTATGGAGAACAACGACTGAATGCATTGACATTGGTGAAGGAGCTGGGATTAGCGGTGGAGCTTAAAATAGATTACAAGATCGATGACGGTGAGGTTGAAATTGTAAAAGCTGAGAAGATTGAGAAAGGAATTAGGTGGTTAATGGAGCATGATAATGATGTTAGAGAGAGGATGAAAAAGATGGAGAAAGAGAGTAAAAAGGCGTTGATGGATAATGGTGGATCTTCACACATTATGTTAAATCGTTTTATTAATGATATCATGAACAATATGTCATGAAAACTTCCTTTCACTATATCATGAAAATTTCAATACATTGTTAGGATGTGCTAAATTTTTAACTGTATTCAGTTTGAGTTGAACTAATGTGGGTCTAATTTGTTAGAGTGGTTATATGGGTTAGCCTATAAATAATGTAAGTGGGCTTGGGTCCTCGATGTCAATTACTGTCGCAAAATGGAATCCCAACTTGAAGTAAAATAGAATTAGAGATTTTCATCTTACGGTCAGAATCCTTAGTCAACTATTTTCAAAGTTGCTTCTTTCTCTCTCATTTTTCTGATCTTTACTCCATTTCGATCTCAACGTGAGTTATTTGATATAGTATCATTTGCCATTTTTCTTCAGCTTTCGCAGTGAGTAGTGAGACCAGCTGGTATTACTATTGATTATTTGTAATATGTTTATTATTATTTGATTGTTACATGAAATCAGGTAGTTTATCGATATACATTAACTTGTAGTTGATGATACTCATGCGTGGTTCGCTAATGAATGCGATAAGTATGATGTCTCGAGTAGTGATAATACATGTCGATATCCATGCCTTTGTACTTATACTAGTATTGTATGTTTATATTTATGAACTGTGTGAAGCATAGTAAAGTAGAACCGTAGAAGTGTACTATTGAATTTGTAAAAGTTTAACGTTCAAATATTTTTTGTTCACATGTTAGTAGACTGTGATCGCTTTTAAAAGAGTGTCATCGTCTAAGGATTTTTGGTACCTCCTTCCACCAACTTTTAATTTGCACATATATGTTAGAAATTAGTTGAGTTTTGAGAATAATATAGAAAAATAATAATGATAATAATATCATTATAAAATCAAAAAGACTGAACGAGTTTACTCTGTCTTGAAATTGTTACGCAAAATAATAATTTGAGACGAAATCGAACCTGAGAAAATAAAACAAAGAAGTTAAACTTCTTAAAACCAAATCAAATAAAAATGGAAATAAAAATACTCTCTTTTTTATTGATTTATCGATCAGAAGCAATTGAGGCTTGTCACTAAATAATTTCTTTTAGACATATTTTTGGCCACTCTTTTGATGCTCGAGTTCGTTTGTCGTCTATCTCCCATGATACAACATTTGCAGAGATCACAATTTTTCTACTTTTGAACTTGTGAAAACTTGTTCAGAACTGTTTCAAAAAAAACTTGTGTTTAACCTAACAGGTTAACTCAGTATTTATAGGGAATTTCAAAGAGAGATTTAATCCAATCAAATATTTTTTAATACTCGAGTTTAAACAAATAATAATATCTTTTAATTTGAAATATTCAAAAGATATAGACATATTTCACTATTCAAACTTAAATATATATCATTTTAATTTGAAATATTCGAAAGTATATAATTATCTTTAATATTCAAAGTTAAATAGATAATAAATACTTTTTTAATTTGACATATTCAAAGATTAAGTATTCTACTAATATTCAAATTAAAAATATCTTTTAATTTGCAATAGTTAAAAGGAATATGAATTTAATATAAATATTAATTCTATCAATTAAATTCACCTTTTTTCCAATAACCCCCATATGAATGAAATTAACGATTTTATCAAAAACATTTCGACACGGTTTGGTGATATCCTCTACGATTGATAGTTGCATAGGATATGTAGGTGTCCTCCTTTGTACCTTCCCTTTTGACAATATATTTACTTTGTTGGCTAAATAGTAGACACAGAGTCCTTGAAGTATTATGTCGTTTGTGTAAACGATGATATACATAATTCACACAACTACCCTTCTGACAAGAATTTATGTCTTGTGAATATGTCCTTAAAACCATGGACATTGTCTGGTTCTGCAAGAGTTTGAAAGAACTATGCCCAATAATTTCCTTAAAGCGGCCCCACTTCACTCTCACATAGGTAACTTATGTTGCTCGACTCATCGCAGTACCTAGATCTTAGGATCTTCAATCAACAAGGTAGGGTTTTCCTTTACATAAAGCCTTTAAATTTTATGGGTTTTAGTCTCATTCCTTTAGATATTTTCACAACTTGATCTCGATTTAACCATTTGGTTAGCAGATCCACGATGTTATCCTTTGAATTTACAAAATTAATAGAGATAACTCAATTTGAGATCAGTTATCTATGGTGTTATGTTGACAATGCATATGTCTTGACTTACTATTATACTTGAAAATCTATACTAGTCACAATATATGCATAGTGTATGCACATATTTTAGCCATTCAAGAATATTCTCTAAGAAATTCCAGAGCCATTCAGTTTATTCTCCAAACTTATTTGGAGCTACAAACTCAAATTCCATTATGAATATGGTTATAACCGTTTTCTTAAGGATTTTCATGGCAAGATTTCTCATTCAAATGTGTAACATATTCACTCGTGACATTGATATCAAATTCCGACTAGCATCGGTCTATCCTTCTAAGATAGTAGGATGGTAAAAAAATACAATCCATTGTTTAGGACCTATTTCCATTTGTTTTGGTAATATGATCATTACCTTCCCAGGACACCTCTACATTTTCAAGTGTTTGTATGACACAAGTTTTTGACCTTTTCATAACTCATATGGCGTGTTGTCCTTTTTTTCTTTCCTATGAACCTTATTTAAAAGGTAATTAGTTTAAAGAACAACTTCTCTCTCTCCCCGAATATTATGTGACAACCCAAAACTTCTTAGTATTGTGTTCATTATTTCATTTCACCAAAATTCCAAAATGATCAAATTTCACATCCTAACACTTATTTCAATTCCGAAACAATAATTTCCATCATAGTACATCAATTATAGAACAATTACTCAACAACCCATCATTTTCCAAAAATTACCAATTTGGTCCCTAATTTTTCAAAAATTACAAATGGTCTTTAATTTTTTTTTCTAAGGCTTTTATAATACTTCCTACATCATTTCAAGCCCTTACATAATTTTTCCAAAAAAATTATCATCCATTTATGCCATGGTCGAATGTTCCAAAGTCCTAAAACTAGGGTTTTCATGATTTTGCTCAATTTTGATTCGATTCAAGTATGAAATCAACCTTCATCCAACCTTATAACATCTCTACAATCAAATAACTAATCAAATTTAATCAAAACACAAAGTTTCCCCAAGTTATAGTTTGGTTGAATCTTAAAGAACAATTTCTAGGAAGATTGAACATGTTTTAATCATCATACAAGAGTGAAAATGAATCTACAACCTCAAAAACATCAAGATTCATCATCAATTCCATAAACTCTAATATGAACATAAACTCTAGAATTTCGGATCTTTGAAATCAAGCAAGATTATCAAGCATAAATTGTACTAACGGATAATGTTTTTCGCGTAGAATAATTTTCTATTTCATGACATAACTCAAAATCCAAAGGAAATTTCTCAAAATTGAAAGGAAACCTTCTCCCACCATTGGAGGAAGGAGCTCACAACTTGGGAGGAGGAATATGAACAAAATAACATGAAATTTTAGATTAATTTCATGTTAATTTACCTTTAATTTAAGCTTAAATGAATATTTTATTCATTTAATGTAAAAATACCAATTTACCCTTAATGAAACTTCATATTTACCATAAAACCAAGACACCTCAACCTTATCATCTTCCAAAAGTCAAAGTAGAACAAAATATTTCTTACTTTACCATTTTGCCCTTGTAATTTCCCAAAATTACAATCTTGCCACTTTAATCCAACGATACAAATTTAACATGGAATGAAATCCTCAAATACAATGGTTTATAATATTTTCCATCATTTTAAAATGTGTAAATAATATTTTAAGCCTAATTTATCATCCTTTAAATTTTCCCAAAATTTTATTCGATTCGATTTACTGAATTTTTATCAGACTTTAACACAATTTTCAGATCAATAATCTGATTTCAATAAAACCCCACTTCCAAGAGTAAATGTTGAACCATGTTTATATAATGTTTTAATATAATAATTTAAGGCAAAATGTTTTTGGACTTGAATTGAATTTATTCAATGTTTTCAAAAATAATTCAAAGTCCATTAAAAGTGAATTTGAGCACAAAACTGATTTTCAACGTACGTAGTACCAATATTGTTCTTACAGTATCAATACTATATGAACAATATCGATACTACTTTTGTGGTACCAATACCCTAGGTAAGAGAAGTATTGATTCTCTCTAGGTAGTATCGATACTATCAGCTTGCTCAAATTACAGAATGTAAAATAGGTATCGATACCCAAAGGGGACCGATACTACTTTACATAGTAGTATTAATATCATAGGCTAAGTATCGATATTGTCCGGCCCAACGGCTGGTAACGACTAGTTTTATTTAAAAATAACAAAGGTCGTACCGATACTTCCTATTGGTGTATTGATACCCTCTGTACTGGGTAGATTATTTTTGCACAGAAAATATCCCCAAACGATTAGAAATCATCCCCAGCGGCTAGAAACTACCACAAACACATCCAACATATAAATACAAATTCAAGACACTTGAAGAAGGGTTAGAACACTTATCCAAGCATTCAAACACAAGAGAAGAGATTTTCACTCTTTATTTCTATTATCTTGTAAATATTAGTGTTTAGTGAGCTTTAACTTGTAAACACTTTTTTTAGAGGTTTTCTTTGTTTACATAATTTTCCTTGTAAAGGGGTTTTTGGTTATAGCTGAGCCTTTGAAAAGTTAGGCAGTTTGTAAAGGTTATATTTTTATCCTTGAAAAAGAAAGAATAAATTAATGTATTTGTTGGAAAATCCTAAGTGATGAGCTTATGTAGTGGAGGTAGACTTAGTTGAGAAGTCGGACCACTATATATCTATGTGCAAAATTGTATATCTTTTCTTTCTCCTTACTCCCTAAGCAATTTTTGTCAATTTACCCCTTGTACTTTTTTTGGTTATTCAAATTGAGCTTCAACAATCCTAACAATTGGTATTAGATCTTAACTCATTAGAAGGTTTAACAACCTTAAGATGATCCTTGAAGAAGCTCTATCGATTCCCGACGTGTTATTGACATCAACTT